CCTAAACTCTGGGGTGGGGGGTACCAGGGTCATCTGTGGCCATGCAGAGCATGGGCATCCCTATCATGAGGGGCCTGCGGAGTGTGGTTTCCCCAAAAGGTGGGTGCTAGGCATTCCCCCCCTCCACGGGGTCCCATTGCTCTTGGGGTGCTGGTCCTGCCTGGCACAGGGACTGGGCAGAGCAAGGGATGTCCCTTGGGAGAGGGAGCATCCTGGCTGCTCCATCCCACTGAGCGGGGTCCGTCCCTCTGTGTCCTGGGATAGCAGTGACCACAGATCACCAAAACCTCGGGTAGAAGATCTTTATTGTCCGCTTGTCCAGATGAACCACACCTGAGCTGGGTGTGAGGTTCTCACTCCTTGGCGTCCCCACCATCCACCATGGCCCCAGGCTCTGGGTAGGAGAGGAAAGCATGGGGAGGAACGTGTTTTGGCCTCCTACCAGCTCCTACCAAGGCTTTGAGCAAGGCTTTTCCTTTCCAGCTGTGTCCTGGCCATGGGGAAGCTTGTGATGGTCGGCTGGGATCCCGCTGTGCCCACCAAGGTTGGTCTCTCTGGCCCTAACCGCAGGGATTTAGAGACGGGTGGAAAACTGTCTAAAAACCCATGCAAATATTTGCATTTCGAGTGCTTTTCCAAGTATTGGGGGAACGCTGACAAAGCAGCAGCGTGGGTGATACAGGCACGCCAGGAGGGCCTGTTTGATTTTGTCTTTGGGGCAGGATTTCAACGGTCAAACAGTTTTGTTTAAAATAAAAGAAATAATGGAGCGAATGGGGAGATTTTCCAGCGCTGCTGCTGGCCCCACCGCCAGCGGCTCGGGGTAAAACAGCCACCCCGATGCCAAAGGGGCTGTCAGCCTTCAAGCCACCCCTGCCCTGGGCCAGTGGGTGCACGGCTCGTGCCTTGGTTCTCCATTTTCCTTCTCTGCTGAAGGGGTTTTTGGCAGGAGACGGGCTCCCCGTGCCCAGTGCTGCTCTGCCCTGGAGCATGCTGGGGATCTGCAGCCCAGTTTGAGCCAACGGGACTTGCCTGAAGCTCTGCCTGGCCGCCCTGTCCTGCCCGTGCCAGGAGAGGCTCACCTGCCGTTGGCTCCTGCCTGTCCTGCCAGCTTTTGCTGGTGGTAGCAGCCCATGTGAAGAAGGAAGGCTGAGGGAGAAGGGTAGCCATGGACCCTGGTGGCCCCAGGACAGCAAATCCTGAGCATGGGCAGGGGCTGGAAAAAGGGTAGAAACTGGGGGGACCCTGGGCTCCGCCATCCTGCTGCATTTCCCCTCTCCACATCCATCTCTGCCACCTCCCA